GCATAATACTGCCATCTATTGTTGAGTACCATCTCAGTTCATCTCTCTCAACTTGCCGTAGTTACTTTCGAGTTTAATGGGCGATCTCGCAATCGCTAGTTTGTTGGCTCTGCGCTGCCGTAGCGCAAAGATGTCTGCCTCCATGGCTGCGAGACCCGCTCCTATGTAATTATAAATAACGAATTCTAAGGCAACGCAAATATTAAGGTTAAGAGGCTGAGCTCGTAGATGATGATAAATAACATAGTTACGTATAATATATTATATTTCTGACTGTATATCCCTGTAATTATTACACACTGTAGCTTTAAGGGGTGATAGAATGATTCTATAGGGTATTTGGTGCTGGTTCTTAAGGTCTCTGAATAGGATGTGTAACATTGGTGGGGCTGAAAATGGCGTATTTGCTGTTCTATGATACCTAATGCAAGCCTGGTTAAAAGCCCTAGAATGAAACGACAGGTTTTTTTCCTTTTATGGTATGCTCATGAATATTTAGATGAGCTGTGCGCTGATTGGTTGGTTTACAACAAGCGAAGCTGCAGAGCAAAGACGCATCATAGCAACAAGCACTCACTGAAACATCAAAATTGTTGATATGGTAGGGTGACCAGACGTCCTCTTTTTCCCGGACATGTCCTACTTTTCATACCTAAAAAAATGTCCGGGGGGAATTTCAAAATCGTCCGGGATTTTGATCAACTACAGTGCAGTACTTAGTCCAAACACACCATGCATTTGGTTGGTCCGGGAACCCCGGTGGACTGGGGCAGGGAGTAAGCAGGGGACAGAGCGACCGAACCCGACCCGGGGACGGTAGCCTGAGGTCTGGTTCAGTCAGAGGCCAAGCAGTCGACACTTCACACACCACACCCCCCCTCTCCCTTGGGCCAGCGAACCAGTGGGCTGGTCTGTATGTCAATTTTGGGGCGTGACAAAAGTATAGGCCAGAACCCGGAGTTTACGTCAACTCGGGGCTTCGTTTGTATTCGCCCGTTTTATGTTGGAAGTCTAGAATTGTGAGATTTGCAGATAAAGGAGGTGTCGATTGGGTTTGTACTTCTCTGCACGTCCATTTTACCCACTGTTTACATCATAGATGAATAACGATAGTTATTTATCTATGACAATGTAAACTCGGTATTGCATTCTATGACTCCTTTAATGGGACTTTGTGATGGTCACTGCCAAATATTAACTTTGTTATCATTCAACTACTTTGTTACGTTGCTTATGGAGGAATGATTTCTTTTATTCTGGGTATTCCAGCACAGGACTCATTACACCAGGGAAAATTAAATACCATGAAAAGAGAATTCCCCATTTTTCTTTTAAATACATTATAAATGTATTGTTCTACATGTTTAAAAAGTGTCAGAATCTTTTATCATGTCAATGTTGCACTAAAATTTAAATTGAGTTTCATTATTCTGGAGTTGCAAAATTTTTTGGGTGTGTCTAAAATTGCAACTTCATGTCTCCATGAGGCTTCCTTCAGCATAGGCCTGCCCCCTGCTGGGCCAATAGTATAAAAAAAACAGCAAGCCTGGCACTGAATTGTTGCCAACTTAAGTAATTTGTTTATAAATTCAGAGCCTTTTTGGATCTCTATAGCAACTTTTTTTTTTTTTTTAAGCGAATAGCGACAAATCTAGCGAGCTTTGTCTGTCTTGGTAGACTGACTTTGGTGACAACACGTGCACCAATCGCTGCGAGTTTATAGTCTTCAGCAAACAGTGAGCGAGCCTCTCCCTCCTCCAAAGCAAAAGGACTCATACAAACCCGTGTATGCATTCAGAGAGCAGAGCGATTCTCCTCAATTCCCCCCCTGAGTCAAACACATTCAAAGCTTCTACTGAATTGAAATCCAGATAGCAAATATAATGTTGAGCATAATTTTAAGGGTTAGGGTTTTTTAAAACTGTTGCAGTGAATAGAATAGCATGTGGGCACGGTTTCAGCGGCCCTAGCGGACACGCCCCCAGCGTCACACAGCAGCGAAAACTGACGTTTTTTCATTACTTTTGAGATCTAATTTTTTATGCTTAGTTGTGTTTTTAATCAGTCAAATTTAGATGGGTGATTCATAAAACAAATTTCTGTGGTGTGACAAAGGGAGGGTAAATATTTATTCATACTTTACATGGTCTTTAACCAGTAACTTTACAAGGTCTTCTGCTTTTCTTCCAGGATTTACAAGCAAGTTTGCAGCAAAACCCATTTATCTCTGCTGTATACACCCATCTCACCCCTGAATAATCGACTGCAGGCGATTCCCATGCTGTTATTACTTTTCAACATGGCACCCTTAGGCTTTTGTAAATTGCAGTCAAGAATGAACCAGACTTGTAGGGGTCCACAGTTCTCTAATTGATATCTTGGGTGATCACTATTCTTTTTTTTTTTTCTCATGACATCATATAAGGAAGCATTGAGTTTAAATCAATTATCTCAGATGTGTTAAATGACACCTTCAGAATACAAAGCTTTCATACCATCATCTAAACTTTCCCAATTTGTTTAAATGAATCATTATCCTTTCTTATTTGGTACTCCTAACTGATACATGATAGTTTAGTCTAATTTATTTCCATAAGATGCAAATATACAAAATACAAATATATGGTATAAAATGTAGACCCATGATTTGCAATTGATGTCATCTTCAAATCCCAATGAAACACATCAGTTCATACATAAAGGGAGTCAACAAAAACTAATGCTGTTTTAGTTTCTTGAGGGGATCTCCAAGGATGTTAGACACAAGGGATAATTTGGGATGCCTGGATCCAATCCTAAGAATAAGGTCTTGCTCATTTAAATTACTGTGTGCCAGATGTACAGACCTTAGTTCATTATCTCTGATTTCTTACTTAGCCACACCCACAGTCCTAGGCCACATGTATTACACCCATTGTTTTTTTGCTCTACTTGCAAATATCTATTATATACATAATATTCATGTATTATACTTTAGAGAACCCTGCCCTTTACAAAGAATTTCACAGTAAGATTTGATTTTCTGCTGCAGCTTCCTGTTTGTCTGTGATGTGAACTACTCTGTGCTGCGCTCTGATGGCTGTCTTGTGGAGGGCAGCTGTGCAGAGTGAAGCTGAAACATTAACATTATTTTTCATGTAGTTGAAAACAAGACACCAAGTTTATCATGCTGACAAAAAAAGGGTCAGTCAGTTTTGTCCCCGCATTGAAATATTTACTACATTAAATTATGTTTCTAGCAAAATTATGAAGTATCACTAGATGTTTCTATGGCTGATAATTTTCTGTATTTTTTTTTTTAAGAAAAAAATGTTTGTGCTTTTTTAATTTAGTTTTTAATAAATTTCCAAGGTTATTTATTAATAAAATAGTTAAATACAAAGAGCACATTTTTTGACTGACTTTTTAAAACAATATCCTTTTCATGAAATATTATCAACTTACAAAGTGCAACAAAATCTATTTCACTGTGAATGTTGACATATATGATATACGAAAAAAAATTCTTTGTGTCGGTATGTTTGCTTTTTTTAATCTCGATGAGAAAAATCTCAATTTAAAGACCTTGGCAGAACTTCAATTTATAGCTCTCCCTACATAATAATATGAATGCTATACATCTCCAACAGCTCTGAATAAATTGTAGTGCCAGGTCTAAATGGTAGGAGAGGCAGGCCTGTACATGAATGTAGACTTTGGACTAAATCCAGGGATAAATGTAGGGATACTACTGAACATGGGATTCAGACTCATATATTTAAAAGGTTTTGAAATAGTAAGTTTCACTTTGTTTTAAGCAAACACAATAATTTCCTGTTGTATCGCTGACTGAAGAAGACACGTCTTAATCCTGGTTTTAAGTGAGCAAGGATTAAAAGAGACCATTTTGCAAACGTAGCAGAAAGCAACCCTGCTCTCCTGACCTCTATCAACAGCACCTCCCAGACATTGGATTAGAGAGGTAAGTATTCACATAGCTTTAATATATTAGCAAAACATGTAAAGAGTAGGGCCAATTCTAGAGGCACAATCTTAGTTTGTAGATTCCCCTGTTTAGCACCCTGAAAAGCCCATTAATAAACAAATGCATGCGCTGTCACTTAAAATGCCTAATGAATGCAATATTGATCAGTCTGCACCTCACTCCTTAAGACCACCATATAATCACACCCGCTTGCATTCTCTGCTGGCTGGCTTCCTGGGAACATGCTACCCTGAGGCGATTAAAGCCTTGACAAGGACAAGCTCAGCCGTGGTCAAAGAGCAAACCCACATGGCTGCAGTCATTGTATCAGAAAGCCCCTTGAGCTGCAAAAGATGTAGAAAAGTATTAGAGTAATTCTAATTCTATCTTATCTAAAGAGAATAAAACATAAGGTAAGGCGTGAATATCAAAAACATTACTCTCAGAGGCAACTGTAACGGCTTCTGTCTTTATTTGACTAAAATGCAAAGAGATTCAGTTTGATGTAAGACAGTAGAAATAGAACTCAATAAGTATTAATAAAGCAATAAAAATGACAGTGAAGGATCGTTATCAGGGTGCTGCTACACTCTAATTTTTAGGGTTTTACTCTTCTCAAGTTATTGAATTTTGCAGCAATTTTATGTTGGGAGCTATACCTCTTCAGTTTCTAACCAGCTCCTTCATGGCTCGTTAATTTTTGTCATTGTTAAACAACTTCAATTAAACTGCACTTCCTCATACAGTAAAGTATTTTCCAGGCTCGGGTTATGAAATGGAGTGCAATCTTTAAAAATTATGTGAAATCGAATCAAACTTGATCATTTAAAAATAAATTATTTTGCATTATGGGAAAATGTAATCTTATAGCAAGCTAAACAGAATCCAAATGGAGAAATGGCACAGTAAGCTGTATCTGCATGCCAATAACAGTAACTAGATCAGTTCTAATATTTACTCTCTTTCTAAGGAGGTATAAGATGTAACTTGAAATGTCATCCGAAGGACAAAGGTGTTGGAAAATAATGACACTTACGAACACACAAGTCTCCGCTTTCAAAGTAACCAGGGCAACACTGTGAGCGGCGCCTATACATGGTCCTCACTCCCCGCCGGTAAGCTGTCTTATAGCTGATCCTGGAAAATTAGACACACAGAGACAGCTGCATGAACTCGAAAAAGTTCCACATCTGAAGGTCAGGAAATATATAAAAGGTAAACATTAATTGATATTTACTCATAAATGGAAAAATTATAGAGAGAAAACAATAAAACAATATTATGCAGAGAGGAATCAGAGTTACTAGAAATGTTTTTTTTACATAAACAGTTAACAGAGAGAGTGTAATTTATGCTTTAAGAATGACGCTATGAAGCATTTTAAACAGAGCAACATCTTTGACACCGGGTGATTACCACCTAAGGCTTCTGACCTTTTCTCAGTGACACATTGGAACAAAAACATTCATTTTAGCTTTTCCTTTACAGTAAAGTTACAGGAACTGAATGAAAAAGAAAATCACACATTCTTTTTTAAATAAACTTACCTATGTCTGGTGCATTTAAACCAATTAAGGATGTCTGTACATCTGGTGTAATAGATCTGGTCAAATGGGTGAGCATAGGACTCCTGGACAGTCACTGCATAGCTGAAAGATCAAAATACAAGATAAGTAGTAGACTAATGGATTTCAATTAAGCTATATTCTGTTTTGAAGAAAAAATAAAACTGTAGTCACATTTTTTGTTATTATAAAGAGAAGATTCATCCATTTTTCTATTGTTGTAACTTTAGTTTGTTTAACAATGCCTAATCTGACAGCTAAGGTTGGCGAGAGGTGTCCAGAGTGACACTCAATAACTGATAACAAATATTTCTGCGATCAGTTTATAATGAACAATTAATAATGTGCATGATGATGTTGGGTATCAAGAGCTAACTGTTGTAGCCAGGCAAAAACTCAAACATGGGTTAGAAGATATAGCGATTTCAAGATATGTTTGATCACATATCAGTAATAGTGATAAAAAGCAGGATTGTGATTGTTAAACTGAACCAGATAAGCAATCCCAGCAATACAGTTGGTTTTTCATGGTGACCAAAGGGTAAGAAAATAAATAATACTGTATGTAACACTCTTAACTAACATTTATCAGCCACAACGGCAATATGAATATGATATCAATACTGGCCCCAGTGTTCATATCTATGCATCAACAAGAACAAACTAGAGCAGTTAGGAAATGAACAAATGTGTTTCATAAGGATGTTGGTCAAAATATGGAAATCTAGAGTAGAGTAGTGCATTGCTTTGAACAAGAACATTTCCCTCACACTTTCCTATTTAATCATACCCTCAAAGCAATGTACTTTTTCAATTCTAAACTGTTACAAAGCAAAAATAAACCAAATTTGCCATTAATGGTGCTCTAAAAAATAGACTTTAAAGAAACCAATCCAAACACAATGAATTATTGATATACATTATAAAAAAAAAAAACTACAACTGGTTGTCATGACTGGTTAAAGAACAAGACCAAGTAACTTTGTTCAAACTATTTTTCTCACATTTTAGAGAAGTAAACTGCTAAAACTGCCTTAAAAGGTACATACACCTAATACTTTAGGGTTAACACATTGTGTTAAGGAGATACATCTGTACCGGCTATTGTTTTCCACGTCTCTGTGATTAGTTCTGCTTCTGCTGTGTTTTTGGATGAAGAGACAAATCTGAGAACTGCATAATGCTTTCATGTGCTGGACTCAACTGGAGAGTCTAAGTCTCTGTGTATTTAGTGCAATTTCATTCGAACATCTGAGATACTAAATGAAAAATGTAGACAAAAATCAAACTTAAAGCTGCTTTGTGAATTTGCTTTGAATTTCAGGATTATCTGGCTGATTTCTATAGAGTTTAACCTCAGGAAAGATGGCCGATATACCATATGCTAGGTTTAATTACAAAAATAAAAAAAAGCTCAATCTAAGCCAGGTGAAACATTAAAGTTTACCCAAATGTTTAAATATAATATTTTATTTTAGTTCTATATATATAGGGGGGGGAAATACTTTATTTTGATCCTTTGAATTTAAACTTATAGAAACATCTTTATATTTTCAAATTTTGTCACAGTTACAGTAGAGCAAGTAGCTTTCTGCCTTTGATCTATGTTTGAACATTGGACCTAACACAGCCTAACTAAAAGTATAGTGATGACTTTGATATACAAAGAAAGTCAATTTTTATGTTGTATGCAACCGAAGCCTGAGGATATTGGAGCCCCTTATAGCCACAGAAAAGACCCACTTAGGAAATTCATTCTGATGCCAACAAGGTGGAACCACAAATCCAAAGTACCCTCACCTTGGTCGGGCAATCATCCCAATAATACATCTTCACAGTTTTCGTTCCACCCTTTTGCCTTAAGGACAGAAATTATTGCTGCTTATTTCTTTCAGGTGACACTGCCCAGCACAGCTTATTATTATTCAGGCACTTAGGCTGTCATGATTGATTGGAATGAATTTATACTGATCAATCTGCCTGCATATGCCATTTGAAGCCTTAAACTCCTCCCATCCCTCTCCTTAGCTGCACGAGGTCAATACTGCTGTTTAGAAGCATGTATAGTAAGCAAAAAGACCCATAAAACTTTCTTATTTCAACAAACTACCATTGTATTTTTATTGGTAAACAAGAAACTATGCTCACCTCTCCCAGTGGCTGCAGACATTTGGGTCATCAGGGTTGAGACTTAACGCACTAGTGGTGAAGCTTAGGATGAGGAGCCAAGCCAGGCAGCCAAACAGTGACCCCATCCTTCTCTCTGAGAGGAAATAAAAAAGCAAAAACGTCCGTAAAAATGACATAAAGTATAAGTACATGTACAGCTGGATGGCAGAGAGAAAATCCTAACATGAATCAGTGAAAAATGTTTGGTTTTGATGAGTAAAAGTATTTCAAGCAGATGATTCAGGCAATTTGTTTGCTCAAACATTTGTCTCTAAATAAAATCAAATATGAAAAATACTGAAGACACTGCAGATGAATTAATAGTAGATATTATAACTCTTGTTTTAAATAAGCTGGAAAGACCAAGAATGACAATCAGTGAAAATAATTTAACAGTTCATCCAGTACAAGATATAATGTCACAGTACTTCTTTCCATACTTTTACAACAAATCAAAATCTCCTTTCTGTGAATGTAACTCAGAAGTGTCATAGTAAGGGTTTATTTACAGAATTAAAAGATGCTTAGTAGGACTATGCACTCATAACCACAGTTCTGACTGACTTTAGTTTTTTTAGGGGTGTTCACTTGTATTATGCATTATTTTTATAATAACTGTACAATTATTCAAAGTTAAACACACATGTATAAGTTAAGTATTTAGAAAATACTTAACAGGAAATTAATTATGTACCCAAAAAGAACTACTTGTCCATTTATATTTTCACTGGAATTAGTGGGGTTGAAACTAAATGTCAGAATCACAACGGTTTGTGATCATAATGATCTCACTCCGATATAAAGTTAAAAGTTGATAGACTTGCTGATCTACACAAAGTACAGCAATCTATAATGCCGCCTCAGCACTTAGTGTTAACTACCTGAATTTTGGGATGAATAAGCAAAGTGCTTAAATATAAAGTTCTGGAAATAGCAAACAAATAGGTAGAATAATGAATTCATCAAAAAATACTTGTGTCAGCAAAAAATAATCCATCTAGCCACTGTCAGTAGCTGGCGATGAATAAAAGACAAAATGCTAAGTTAATAATTAAAAATGGCAAAAATATGGCATATGGTTTAAAAAAAAAATCTAATCCACATAACTGTGATTTGACAAAATTACAATGAAGGGAAAAAAACATCTATGAATGTTAAGTTCACTCTAAAACCCCAAGAAATATTAATTCATAAAATTAGAAATACAAAGGCAATAAATAAACAATAGAAATTTGAGATTTTATTAGTTAGTGAATGAAACAAACATCATTACTCGGCTGTGCTAATAATACCTTTTCTGAGAAAACAGCTGCACTGAAGATTTTTGGTACAGGCCATTTACTTTTTACCGTTTAAAATCAGCTATTTTTATACTTTATGTAACAACTGGAAATACACAGTAGGTGGTTTAAATAACTTAAGACTGCGTTGTAAAATCATAAGGTTCATTATTTTTGCTATAAGAACATCACAAGTCCATTATAATTCAGAATTTTCCCAAACTGCTGAAATAAAATGCATGCCAGCTTCTATTGTTTCTGCTCAACCAATTCCGTCCTCCTACTGTCTCTCCAAATCTAACCGCACTGATGGAGAATGACAAATAATGTTTGATTTACTGATCAAAAATGTGGACGCTACCTGGCATCAATTGTTTCATAAGTTTATATCCATTCTAATGCATTTACAATTAGGTTAATAGCAAAAAAGCAATTCTGTGAAAATCTTTCGACTGTATAAAATATTTTTTTTAAACTCTAAACTCAAAAGTTCAGTGTTACATTTACAGAGAAACCAGGTCTTTGTACTTACAGTATATCTAATTTATGTATACTTTTTACAGGTGACAACACTGCAAAAAATGGATATCTAAATGAGTCATTTTGTTTAAATTTGGTGCATTTTTTCTTGAATTAGGAGATAAGTTAGTGACACACTTTGCCAATGGAACAAGACCATTTACATTTAAAGTAATAAAAAAAAACAGCATTGTCTTATTTAAAGTGCATATTACCTAATTATCTTTTTTTTAAGGCATAAAAATACTAATTCCATTGGCAAATAATTTTATTTATCAGCTTAAATTAAGGGTAAACACACCTAATTTAAGAATTTTTAAGACTTAAATCTAGATGGTTTTTGCAGTGAATACACTTTAGAGGGAGTGGTAACAGGTTTTAAAAGTACATTACAATGATCTGGTCTGAGAGAAAAAATAAACCCCTATTATTTTCAATCGAACAATTCACACTATGTTGGCCAGTGCTCTGCGACCAGACACACATGAATCCTTTTTTAAACTGCTCTTTACAGAAATACCACATACTGTATTTCTGATCAGTGTATCTCCAAACAAAATCCAAGAAAACATGGAGATGTTCATTTTAGCCTTTTTTCAGTTGCGGAAGTTTCCCTGCAAGGAAGTTTCTGTATTCTTTGCCTCCATTAAGAACTTCAATAACATGCATATGTACTGTTTAGAAAATACCTGCAGAGCTCAGCAGGATGTTTTTCCTAAGATGCATAACAAAAGCAAGAGCGCGGTGTATACGATCAGATGACAATGATGGATTCCACCCTTGCATATAATTACAGAGAAGAAAAATGCAAGAGACAGAGCATGATTCATTCGTTAATGGCTGAATGACATTCAGGTGCAGCTGAATCAGTGTCTTTCAAACATGTGGTCAATGATTTTTGAGTGACTCTATTTAATAACACTGGCTTTCACACGTTCTGATAATATTCTTTTATCGAAAGCCACATGCAGCTCACTCACATGTGAAAGAAAATCAATTGGACCTTCCATTTCTCTAAGTAGCAGTTAATCTGAACAAGCAGAGATTATAGTCACGTTCCTTCCCTTAACAGGATGATTGATCAAAACATATGCACGTTACAGGCCATGGCTGGACTCATATTCGAGTCTTTTCTGAGAAAGAATTCAATTAAATACCACTGCTTGATGGACTGGAAAGCTTTTAGAGTTTCCCTGATTAGACCAGCCAACCTGAGTCATGCCTCTTAATGACTGCCGACAAGCAGAATACTTCATAACTTGCCACATTTTTCAAACCTTGGTGCTCCCCTTTTTACACAGCCCAGGGAATAAACCCACAAGGGGAAGGGTTTGAGTTTTTTAAAAATATGCACGGATACATTGAGAAGCTCGTATTGTGATAATCGCCAAAAGAATGTAGATACCAAAGTGTGCTTAAAGTAACAAACAGAAACAGATCCAATAGCCTGAGGCATGTGCCCTTAAGCTCACCTGATCTTACAGCCTGCAGTCCCTGGATGTTTTTGTAAGGCTGCTAGTGCGATTCTGAGAGCTCAAAGGAACAGAAGTGCTGCTGCACAGACACTCGCGTGGCGAGGTGATGACAGGTCGATGATCTACAGAAGAGAAAAAGACTAATGAGCTCATGATGAGACACTCAAGACGCTTTCTTTTTTCCTCATGCTCAAACCAATGCATGCACACAAAGTTAGCTCTTTCTCATGGGATCAACAGGTAAACAGTTCACGAAAGTGAAAAGCTAGTTTCCAGCCTGCAGGATTCACAGCCAACCACGCAGCTCTCACTCTTCCCACCTACCTGCTATCCACACACACGAGGTCAATCACAAAATAAAATAAAAAAATAAACTACATAAGCTCAAGAGCGGCTGATAAAATGAACCTCACACTTCACACACTACAAGTGGGTTGTCAACAATGTGACGAGATCACATTATCTGCACTCAATAACAAAGCTTTGGCAAGTGTTATTACAATGAAAATGGAGCCACATAGAGAACATTGATGTTATTATCAACTCAGATGGCAGGGCTTTGGCATTATTCACCTTTATTAGTTGTTAGCCTTCATTTAAGGTGCAAACAAAAGAAAATAAAGTTGCTTTGTTCCTTGTTATATTGAATTATTTAAAATTCTTTATTTTGCAGGTGAAGTACTTTTAGAGTCAAGAGGAGAGACGAATAATCACAGGCCTACTAACTGAATTATTAATTGCTTCTATTTTACTTACAGATAAGTTACAAATAAGGTTGATCAGTGATCTGATTTGTGTTTAATAATCCATCAGCTATAATATCTACTATTAATTCCTCTGCTCCCAAAAACAAGAGCAGATTAGTCAAGAAATTAATTTTAACACAGAAATCTAGATCCATAGTTAAGAAGCTGTGGTACAAGAACCTTTTGTAACTACATGGGCCGGTGTCAATGCTACTCATGAGATAATTAACTATCAGTTTTTTAATAGGTAAGATACAAGTATTAAAGCAACAACCATCCCTAGTACCTATACTGTATACTGTGCTTAATTTTGAACTAATGATCAATCAGTCACATGATGACAAATGATACTGCAGTGCAGGGACCTAACGCTGGAGGTCCTGGGCTTATGGTTTTTAATTAGTGCCTAGTGCTCAGGTTCCTCCTCACTAGACTCTATCAGGTCAAGGGTGAAGGAATGATGCAAGGCCATCCAGCAGTGGACATGCTTCCTACAGGTGCAACCATTAGGGACCGGTGCAAAGAAGATTGGGGAGCAGTCAGATGCAATACTAGCTTGAAATAGTCAGGCTCGCCTTCATGCATAGCCTGGGCTCTGGAATTAAGCTCCTCAAGACAGACTGCACTCTTTTCTACTCAGTAGTGGCCTGTAGGGAGACGCAGAGGGCTGGGGTGGGTCTGCTTGTCTCCCCCTAGCTCTGTTGTCTCATCTTGGAGTTGATGCTAGTGGATGAGAGAGTCACATCCTTGTATCCTCGGGTAGCCTTTGGGTTGCACAGCTGTACAAAGTACCCCTCCCATTTGTTTCAATTCAGACTTTTTCCCCCATACTTCTAGCTTCTGTTATCCATTCATGAAATCTTTTCCATCTATCCATTTTCTGTCACGCTATTCCCAAGTGGGGTCGCTAGAAGTGCTATTTCCAGCTGTCTACAGGCGAGAGGCGGGGTACACCCTGAACAGGTTGCCAGTCCATCGCAGGGCAACTCAGAGACAAACAGGACAAAAAACCATTCACGCACACATTCACACCTAAGGAGAATTTAGAGAAGCCAGTTAACCTAACAGTCATGTTTTTGGACTGTGGCAGGAAGCCAGAGTACCCAGAGAGAACCCACGCATGCTCAGGGAGAACATGCAAGCTCCATGTAGAAAGACCCCGGGCCGGGCATCAAAACCAGAGCCTTCTTGCTGCAAGGCAGCTGTGCTATCCACTGTGTCACTGACCAGCCAATTGAATCTTTTCAATTCTTTTCATTGTTTTTTTTATTTTCTGTTTTTTCACATCAAGTCTCCACCCATTATCTATTACAGCTTATTTAACTGGTTTATGCAGACATTTTGGAAACCCAGAATTATCTTTCCAAATGAAGGCACATTCCACACAATCATTTTCACCTTTTCACTCATTACTCTACATATAGAAGAATGTGGGGGGGGCACATCACAATACCTTCAAACCCATTCTTCTAATGGGTTCAGTTCCAGAACTTTCTTACAGCAGCACATCTGCCCATCTGCCTTTCTCTTTTACTCAAGGTGGAGAAATGCTAAAACCACCTGCAAAACCCTCTGTTTGCATAGGTTGCATAGGTCCTATTGTTAAAAACAGACCGGGTTCTATTGGGTCATATTGACCACAAATAGACAACTTTCCCTGCAGAACAAGGTTAGGCCCTCATGCTGATGCTCTGACTCCACCAATTCTTCAAAGTAAAATAAATTATGATTAAAGTGCAGTAAAATGGTTCAGAGTATTGTCTCAACCAGGATCAGACCCACATATTTTGGTTTGGATGTGATCATTCAGAAGCCGTACCAGGACGCAGGTACCAGGTAGGTACCAGGACTCTGCTTTTGTTAACCTAAGTGGAAAATGGTAAATGGCATGTACTTATATAGCGCCTTTATTCAAGTTAGGAGACTTGACCAAGGCGCTTTAGACTACATTCATTCACCCATTCATGCACACACTGATGGTAGCAAGCTACATTGTAGCCACCTGGGGCTCACTGACAGAAGCTGGGCTGCCGTACCCTGGCGCCACCGGGCCCTCTGACCACCATCAGTAGACAATGCAGGTGAAGTGTCTTGCCCAAGGACACAACGACACTGATAGTCGGAATCGGGGCTTGAACCGTCAACCCTTCGATTTCAGGGCAAACTCCTACATCCAACGCCACTGTCGCGCCACAGTGGAGTGAAGAACACTTTAGACTGGCCAAGTGTCCTTAACCTGCACCGCTCTGGCATGACAGATCCTGTTCGTGATGTCAAGACCACCATTCGGTAAAATAGAGAAAGATTGAGCTTTTCCTTTGCAAGGCAAAAAGCCATGAAGGAATGTGTGCACACAATTATATTCATCACAGAGGAGGGGGAGACAATAAGTAGTTTCTAGCCTACACCAGTATGTTATCAACATTACTCCTTACCTGGCCTTGACACAGAACCAATTCCTTAAACACAATCAGTAGGGAAAGTCTTAAAACAAAGCCAAAGGGAAGTATGTGCCTAATTTTAATGCAAGATACAGAACATCTTAAGCAAAACAGGACAAAAATAATCATATATGAACATTTTCCACCACAGTGTCTTAGTGTCTACTGCTAGACATCATTAGAACCCCAGCCCCCTGGGATTCCATCATTCCTCTGGGAAACTTCAATCCCTATGTGGAATTGACCCCTGGAGGCTTGTAACCTGAAGGAATGGACTCTAAGCTCTCAACTTGAGGGGTGTTTAATGATTGGACCTTTGTACAAGTAATTGGAATTCCATATTGAACGAAGCATAGGGATGCCCATCAGTACACTTGGCACCAGAATACCCTAGGTCGAAGGTTGATGATTGACTTTGTAGTCACATCTCTGAACTTTGGCCGTATGTCTTGGACAGTCAGGTAAAGAAAGGGGCCGAGCTTTCCATCAATCACCACCTGGTGGTGAGCTAGATACATTGGAAGAGGAGGAAGCCAGGCAGCGAAGAGGGAATGCTGAGGACATCTGTAACCAATTTTCATTCGCATTAAGAGGAGTCAGCTGAGAAGTCTTTAATATCTTTTTCGGATGCCCCATGAATGCTTGCCTCAAGAAGTGTTCCAGTCATGTCCCACCAGAAGAGGCCCAGGCAATGACCCAAGACAGCCCGGAGAGACATTGTCTTATGTATCCTTTAGCAGAGATGTCTGGGGAGAAGAAAGTCTGGGAGTCTGTGCTGAAACTGTTGGCCCTGCGACCCAGTCCCTGACAAAGTGGAGAATGACGACTGCGTGACCAAGTTGTAATTCTGAAGAACACGTTCAGTGATTGTTTAATGACATTCAACTCATTAGAAGTATGAATACATTTTCATTCAACAGTTATCATATTGGTTTGATACAAGATAAGCATACAGGGTTTTGAGGATTAAAAGACAGTTTTAGGTACATTTCCATTCATTTTTCAAATGTTATACTTGAACATCTCAATTTTGAGTTAAAAATAAACACATTATCAGCCTACATCCCTTAACCAATGATTTATGACATAACACAAGCTGAAATGGTCCAAACCATTTAGAACCATTGCCAGTGGAACTGTTTTTTTTTTTTTGTACTTTAACACAAGCATAAATCAAACTATAGCTAACATTAATTTAACTGCAATCCTTTCTGTCATTTTTTAATGCCTAATGTTACCCTCTAAGGGCTGGTCACAGTCTGTAACAGCCTGAATGCCAAGGACAAGAAACTCCTTGATATTCAGCCATGCCTGAACACACATGCCTTTTTCCTAAGTGTGGATTTTAAAATGTAAACGTTTGTCTCTTTCAAAAGACAAATCACATCCATTATTTATAACATGACACTGCTTCTAAGAAAGTTTGAAATAGTTGATTCCTCATACAAAAAAAAAAAAAAACAAAACAAGACAAAGTAAAGCAAGAGACAAGGAAGTTAAATCAATATGACACTCATCACTTGAGGCTCAGCTGCGTCCCTACCTCCCCATACCAAAAAGAAATCCCAGAAAACAGCATCTTTATGTTTTAACTTCAAACATGCTCAGTTTACACCGAACAAATTGTTCCCCAGAGACTGTATTCACCCTGAATGTGTTTCTCTCCTGTTTGTCACTGCTTTGATTACTGAGACTATGAAACCCTCCCAATCAATAAGCAATGCATCTGTTCCATCTGACAAACAGCTGAAATAGCAACATCGTTTAGGTTATTGAAGTACATGTGCCACATGCAAAATATATAGTTATATTTTCTGTAGGATCAGTGTGTGTGTGGGGGCAACAACTTCTGAATCTTGACACTTGCATTTACCTTAACATTGCACCTACCTGGAGAAACATTAACTCAGATGAAGCAGAGTCACCTCTGTCCCC